TTTACTGACACAAAGGTCTGTGAAACGGGATTGCTGCAGTATGAATTACCATGAAAAGCAAGACAGAAAAAAGCAGAAGGAAGCCATCATGCCAATTATGATAAAATCTTCTAGAATTGAAAGTAAAATTAGGCTGTGGGGCATTCTGGCCAAAAATGATTAGTCACATTATTCTTTATATCCAAATGCAAAGGTGATTAACAAGGAACTAGGCACTTAAAGGACTTGCCTTACCCGTCTTGGCCTAATCATTTTATGTATCCAAAGATGGAACAGGAAGGATTCACCCCCCGCCCCCCCGCCCCCTGCATTATCCCAGATGCATACAGACACCAGGCAAAACCCCAGATATTCACAGATGTGCAGGCAGGACAATCCTCCTAAGCCTGGCTGTAACCATTACATTGTGGGCCCAACCAGAATGACCCCCACCTCATTAACCTCTGCCTCCTCGCTAGACCTCATAAAAACCCAACCCCTAAACCCCCTCCTGGCACAACCTCCAATCCCATGGGAAGGTTGCTGCTCCTCACTGCTATATCTCAATAAACAGTCCTCATTTGTGGAAGATCGAGTCCGGCCTGTCTCCTTCCTTTCTCCTCCATTTTCCCTATATACCTGAACAAATGAAAAAAATGTACTAATAAATAGGCTTTTTGAGTTTAACCCCACCCTGGATCACTATGGGTATGACAGAATAAGGGTTCAGATTTCCAAGAGTAAAATGGTACAGTAGGGGTTTGGAGCCCAGAGCTGTCATTACACAAGCTTCCTTGGCAGGAGACAAGTCGTCTCTGTAATAAATCTCAACAAAAATCTCTCACACCAGGCACTTCATCCAGGTAGCAGTGACCCGACGCTGAAAGTCAGAACACCAGCCTCGAGCTAAATATGGAAGATATATTTAAGGTTTTTTTTGTTTTGTTTTGTTTTGTTTTGATGTAATGGCTTGTGAGGGCTGTGACATCGAACTGCCCTTCATTGGAGGAGCTATTAGGAGGCGTCATGTTGAGATCAATTGTGTGTGTAGCTTTCTTGGGAAGTCCTGTTAGACACAATGGAAAATGGTTACAGGAAAGAGTTCTCTTCCTCCTTACCTTCTCCTTCTGTGACCTCAACTGCTCTCACACAAGTTCTTCAAAGGACCTCATGGCTCATATCCTACTCATTCCTTTTCTATTTTTAGAAATGTTTTATTAGCATATATTAATTGTCCAAAAGAATGAGTTTCACTATGCCATTTTGGACACATGCATATAAAATTCTTTTGTCATATTCTTCCTCTCCTCCTGCATTGAGCCCCCTCCTCTTCCAAAATTGTCCCCTCTCGGTTTTCATATCTTTTTTTTTTTAAGTCTAGATTCTGCATATGGGAGAAAACATGCAGTATTTGTTTTTCTGAGCCTGGCTCCTTTCACTTCTTATGAAGATCTCCAGTTCCATTCATTTGCCTGCAAATTGACCTAATTTTATTCTTCTTTACGGCTGAATAATACTCCACTATGTGTACATACTATAGTTTCTTTACCCATTTATTTGTCTAACACTGCTTTTTGAAGAGTCTATTTAAGTTACTTCCTCTTTCCCACACACTGCCCCACAATTCCTGGCAATTTGATTTCTGTGTTTGTAGCTGCACTTGAATTCTGGGACGGCCCGTTTTCCTCTGATCATTCTGTCAGCCTATTGTTTCCTTCCCTTCTCTTCTCTTCTACATAGCCATCCTTCTTCTTTGTTCTGAATCCTTTGATCTCTCCAGATTTTTCAGCACAGTGTCCTTGACCACCTATTGCTATTCACACTTGATGCCCAGGGCTGCAGAACAAATGAAGGGGGTAGGGGAGGTAATAGAGAAAAAGCATCATTAAGCAGCAAATAGAAATGCCCACATAGAAAAGTCCAGAAACGTTTTATTCCAAAGTATATAACTTTTGACCCAGAAAGCTTTATAAATATATTTTTAGCAGGCCCTCTGCTTCCTAGACTTTTCCCCACTTGGATCTAGCCATGGGCAGGATTCTGGGAGAGTTGCTGTCATTGTCATTTTAACCCTTAGTGCTTCCGGCTGCCTCCAGGGTGTGGCCAGGGTTCTGGGACAGTTTCTGGAGGGAGGATAGTCTGGAGAGTCCAGTGCCCAGAGCCTACTTCTCTGTCTTACACAACCCCTGTCTTCCTCTCTGCTGCTGGGCTCAGCTACCTGGACAAACTGGGACAGGGTACTAATGACCTGTTGAGGAAATTTAACAAGTGAGTCAGCAACTGGCCAGAGAGAGACTCAGCTCCCTCCCCTTCCTCTCCTTGATGGCCTATCCTAGGCAGGCTAGCCCTTCCTTGCGGCCTTTTCAGGGGGTACCACTATGAGCCAGCCTTCTTTCCCTTCCTCCTGGACCTTCTTTGAAATCTTACCTTCAGGGGGTCCTGAGATCACACCTTCCAATAAAGTCCTCACACAGGAGATGTCTTCAGGCTTTACTGTTTTGTTAATTTTAATTTTTACATTTCTATTAGCATCGAGTAGTTGTAACGGGGATTTTATTTTTGACATTATCTACATGTATGTAATGTTCCTTGATCAGATTCACCTCCTCATCACTCCCACTTCCCAAATCAATCTCGACAAGCTTTGCTGTTCCCCGTTCACACATGTCCATGGAGTATTCTGACCATATTCTTCTTTAATCACCCTCTCCATCCCCCTTCTTAGACAGGACCCATGTGAGTAGCATTCCTCTCCTTCATTCTTTGTAGTCTATGCAGAGTCATTCAAAGGGCTTTCACCCTGGTATTTCACACGTGCATCTGCAGTATTTTCATCAGATTGACTCCCAAGATTGCTCTTACCCTCCACCCCTGATCATTCAACAGGTCTTGCTTTTAAGGAAATCTGGGCCACAGTTGAAGCAGAGGTGAAATGAGATTTTCCAAGTAAATGGGAACCATGAGGAAAGGAGTAAGAGCTAGGCACATGTGCACACAGCTCTCCTCAGGGGTGGACATTCATTCTCTCAGATCTAGTCAAGGCCAATCCGTAGGTGGCCTGGATTTGCCACACCAAAAGCCAATCCTGCCAGACTCCCTGTGGGAAATCTCCCCCCTCACCCCACATCCTGCGCTTAAGTTGGTTTCAATATTCATGACATCTTTTCCTCATGTGTGCAGTAGTTTCCTAAAACACAATCCAGGTAGAATATGAAAACAGATTCCTGAAAGAGATGGCTTGTGCTTTCTCAAATTCCATCTCCCAGACCATCATGTTCCTGCAGCCCAAATCAAACTCCCCTGTCTCTATGCCATCCAAATGATGCATTGGTTTTTATACCACTTTACGTCATCTTTCGTATCTTCTCTCACAGACGATCCTTGTAGGTAGTGTGTCTTGGCACATCACATAGACTACAAGCTCCTTGAGGGTAGGAATGCAAAGCAAGCATGCTGATAAATTATATGTACCAGTCTACCTGCAACGTTAGATTAGGATTTGGTTCTTTAAACCAGTATTAAAGCTTGTCCTTAAAATCCTGTAATTTATTTTTATATTAATGATGGCTTTGAATATTATTATGAAATCCACCATCATGTGTAGAGTGTTCCCACAAGTCTGCTTGTGACTTTTGCTTTGACATGTGTGCGTGAGTACATGTGCCTGTGTGCGCATGAGCACGTGTACATGCACGTTCCTATTACTGGGACTTTGTTGGGCACAGGACCTCAAGCTCTTGCTTAGCTTTTTCCCTTAAAGCTGGAGCTCTACAACTTGAGCCACACCCTCACTTCCAGATTTTTGGTGGTTAATTGGAGATGAGAATCTCTCAGAGTTATCTGTCTGGGAGTTGGTTTTGAACCAAGATCCTCAGTTCTCAGCCTCCTGAGAAGCTTGGATTGCAGGCCCGGGTCACTGGCACCTAGCTTTGACTCGTCAAGGGCACATGATAGCAGGGAATGATTCCATCAAAGACTTCAGAGATCAATGACTTTAAAATCCCAACAGTGTAACCTGGAATAAGGATTCCTGGTCATTGGGCCATGGTAGCACAGACGGATCTTTTCATTAATTCAGTGGGCATTTTTGTTTTAGCATTTACTCTGTGCCAAGTACTGTGATGGTCAATTACTTTTGTTTATTGTATTTTTAAGATAGAGTCTCAAAGGACTTGAACTCTTTCTTCCTCAGTTTCCCAAGTGCTGGGATTACAGGTATGCACTACCATGCCCAGCTCAAATAAATACTTTATAAATAATATACCCTATCGGAATAGCAGCTATATCCATGTTCCTATAATTCACCTTGGCCAGTTAAGGAATTTAGGGTATCATTTTCATTTACAGCGGGTGAGTGAAGGAGGAAAAGGAATAGGAAACACAATCACCAAAAGTAATTGTCACTTTGAGCTGAATATGTGAACTCCCTAAGAAAATAGAAGCGTGGTTTTGCTTATAAACTACTATCTTGATTCTCTAAAATTTCTGGGAAGACTTGCACCCAAGCCCCACATTATATAACAAGACTGGGCAGGTTTTGACATCTTTCAGGAAAATGCTATAGGATATGGTTTTTTAAGGCCAATTTGTCTTTTTTTTTTCTTTTTTGGCCTTAAACAGTGTTCTGTACTACAAATGAGTCTCCTTTGCCCTCCCTCCCTCTTCTGAGAAGGGAGGATCTTTCAAAATTCCTAATAGGCAGCCCTGTGGAGAGATGGGAGGGAAGGAAAGGGAAAGAGGGAGGGAGGGAAGGAGGGAGAAAGGGAGGGAGAAAGAGAGAGGTAGAGGGTGTTTAGCTGCGTACATGTGGTACAGGCAGGAAGATCAGAATGCTAACAGAGCAGGCTCTGTAATTCCATGTTTCTCGTAAGTATGTTAGCCCTACAGGGAGCCGAGCTTGCCAGTCTACTTGGAGAGAAGTAAATCTGGGGAAGGTGGAAGGGGTCAGTTGCTCTCCTTGCTCCTGGTGAGGGCATTTGCTGATCTCCGGTGATTGCCTGGCTCTCCTCTCTCCTGTCTAGATCTGTGGTTCTGCAGAAGAGACACACCTATTGCAGGGAAAGAAGAGGACACTGCGCAGATTGCAAGCGGTAGGTTGTGACATGTAACATGTTTATATAGCTAAGAATTGCTGAAAGATGCAGGGGGGGGTGTGGGAGAGAGAGGGAGAGAAGGAGGGAAGGAGGGAGGGAGGTTGCTCAGGGCTGGCTGATTTATCTGCAATGGGGAATGTTTTATTTTAATTGTCAGTTACAGAGATGTGTTGCTTGGGCTGAGATAGCAGTTGAAAAGGGCTGGCTTCTAAGCTTTTAGATCTGTGTTTGATGTGCTGTGTGTGTGTGTGTGTGTGTGTGTGTGTGTGCTGTGTGTGTGCAGTTTGGAGAGCTCACCTTTAAATAACTTGCTGCTTCTTCTTTTCCTTTTCCTTTTTCTTTTTTTTCCCCCCTCTCCACCCATCTTCCCAACATCCTCTTCCCTACCCCGTGGGAAATGTGGCCTCCCTCACCTTGAGTCTGTTTGCCCTCTAAGTCTGGATTTGCGGCTGCTTTGCTGTAGGTGCGTGTGGATGCTGTACCGTGGTCCAGGCGGCCTGATTAAGCAGGAGTCTGTGCATGGGAGGTGGAATTGGACACCATGGCCGTGCAGCTGGTGCCGGACTCTGCTCTCAGCCTGCTAATGGTGAGTACACTAGGGAGGAGGTAGATCCCAGCAGCGCCCTTTCAGGCCTGAGCTGCACAAGGAGGGATGAGGAAGAGGGGGGGTGGGGGGGGGCTCTGCTTGCTGCTGCTGCTGCTAACTGTGATGACTTGCAGACATGTTAAATACCGCTGTGCTGCATCCTACCGGCTCTTTTGAATTTGATTTCGTGGGTCAGAGCATCAGCATGACTAAGCACCAGAGGGAAGAGGAAGCAGGAGCTTGGCCATTTTAGAAACTTGTTGCTGGATGCAGTGTGTAGGAGAGATGCTTGCAAACAGGTGCTGGGAGCCCCGCTCAAAATACGTTGCTAGGACACATCTTCCTAGTGATTCTCCATGTCCTCTCCCTCTGGTCTTTTGGATCTAAATTCAGAGGATCATGTCTGGTGTGTGTTTGATTGCTTCTCATAGCAACTGTGGAAAAAATCTTGTTTTTTTTCCCCCCTCAGTGATGGAGTAGTTCTCTTCCTTCCTGTTGCCCACATGTGTAAAAAATCTTGGGAGGTGCCCAGAGGCTCCTGTGACACTTGGGCTATGGAGCTGGAAGGCAACTCCTCTCCCAGCTAGAGTTGAACAGGGAGACATCAGCAGGCGTGGTCCGGGTATTTCTGTGTGTATGAACTCCTGCTCTACTTACATTCCCACACATCAAGTTAAGAAAGCTATTCCTCAGAGCATTGTAAAGCAAACAAGGACAGCAGGGTTGCTTGTGACCGGATGGCCTTTCTGCTTGAGCCTAAGTTCCCTCTCCCTTTGCTGTCATTTTGCCTCCTCCCTTCTCTATGGCCAGGGCCAGGCAGTACTGCCGTCGGAAGCAGATTGTGCCAACATTGGCTTGGCATGAGAATGTTACCAAGGTTTCCCTAGGTTTTTATGAAACAGAGCCTAAGTACTTGGCGCTGTGTGTATTGATCTGTGTTCTCTGACTCAGAAGGGAAAGTACAGTCTGGTGAAGCCTGATGAGTTCATTAGGGTGACTGGAGCTAGCAGCCTCCTGGGCGCAGAGATCCCTCAAATGAAGAGGGACAGGTATCTGATGCTTTGCTACCCCAAATGACATTTGGTCCACAGAGTCATTTGAAGTGATTTAAGTTACATGGGCATCTCTGGTTCTCTCTCCCTGCTACCCTACCAGTGGGGAGAAGGATGGGAAGGAATGCAGGATCATTTCCTTCCTCAGTAATGCTATTGTCTGATGCTACTTGGGCTGCCATTGTCTCTTTATGGCCAAGCAAATGCACAGCCAAGGCTCGTGTATGTGTGATGGTGGCAGGCTTTAAAATACAGGATGTATGAGGCTTCTAGGAACTTGGGTTCTGTGCACAAAAAAGCAGGCATGCACATGCAAGGCCTGCACATAGAGGTTATCTGATGTGCCTCAGGAGTGTGAAAACTGAAGTATGTTGAGGGAAACAAAGTTTTCTTGGGAAAAAAATATAGCTTTTCAAGGAAAACCACGCCTGCTTGCCTCTGCCCTGAATGACAACTCCTTTATGCATATATACATATAGATATATATATATCTATATATACCTATATATAGATATATATATATCTGTTTTTACTCCAAGGGTCCTGAGGATAATTCCTCGGTAATGAAGCAGAATGCAGCTCAGCACCCTGATCTGGCTGTTTGTGCCCTGCTTGCACGCTCAAGCTCTGGAACACCTATGGTGGTTGTTCTGGCTGTCTGCAGCTCAGACTTGATCGCTGGCAGACTTGATCACTGACTTTGTCAGTGGGCTCTGCTCCTGAGATCTTTCCCTCACACCCCCCTCCTGCCTGGATTAAAGGCTTGTGTTCTCTTCTCTCTCAGGAGCTCTTGGCACCCATGATGGACCATTAGATTAGAGACCGTGTGGAACACCAGGTGTCATTTGAGCCGCCACAGATTCGTGTTTGGTTCAGGGAACCGTCCCTTCTAGGGATTTTGTTGTGGTTTTCTTTTTTAAAGGGCGAATCCTAAGAAAATGCTTTCCCTGACATGTTGCACGACGCATCTCAGAAATGAATAAAACCAGAAGAGAAGAGAAGAAAGCAGAGAGGCCCTCCGTTGGGAGTTACTTTGGCTGTGAGCTCAGGAAGGAAGCTGCAAACATGATTATTTATGAGCTCATTGATCACCCAATCGGTTTATCAAGCATTTGCTCGCTGGAGAGAGTAGTCTGGTGTAATAGCAAGAGCCAGAGCTCATCAATGAACAGTTTGGCTGGGTGGGGGGGAAGTAGGGGAGGGGAAGTCAATACCAGTTGGCTAATTGCAGCTGTGATTTTGAGCCATCATCTTTGGGCTTCAGGGTCACTGGGGACATCACATGGCCAGGCTCTTGGCTTCTGGATAAGGAGGCAGGTGAGGTTGTATCTAGTTTGTATGCTGACCAATGCTGGCTGGCACATGCTTATTTGGTTCTGGAGGCCTAAATCAGGGGGTGCGAGCCCTGTGCTCTGTCTCTCGTTTTGCCACTTCCTGGGTCACCGTGGTGCTGCAGCTTCCTTTCTGTGTGCTATAGCTGTGTCATTTGCTACCTGGGAGTGTCATCATGATCTCTAAGGTCCTGCTCAGCTCTGATAACACCATTTCAGACCTTTAGGGTTGTGGTCTAGAATAGAGCGCGTGGAAAGCCAGCTCAAGCACTGCATTCAGCTTTATGTCTTTATTCCCAGTCTAGCACACAACACGTGGCTTTTTAGAATGAATGGTGGAATTCATTTCCAACCATTCAGTTTGACTGCCAGGACAATTAAGTTCTATGTTTTAAACTGAAATGGATGATCAGTAGGACTTATACTGTCAAGTGTCTGACCCCTCAGGAGCCTATTTTACTCTGTTGTCCAAAAGTTAATGACCTTTGAATAGTGCCGTATCCAAACTGAGTATGAGTCATCTGGGAGCAGGGCCTGGCTTGTGAGCAGGCCTTGGCCTTGGGAGAACTTCACTCATTTGTTCAGTGAGGAGATAATTCTCCATTAAACATGAATCCCCTCAAAACAAATGTAGACTCAGCTGGGTGTCCATGGCTCATGCTTATAAATTCTAGCTAATCAGAAGGCAGAGATCAGGAAAAAGGTGGTTGGAGGCCAGCCTAGGCAAATAAAAAAAGAAAGTATTTGTGAGATTCCCTCTCAACTAATAGCCAGATGTGGTGCACCTACAATTCCAGCAAGTATGGAAAACATAAATAGGAGGAGCACAGTCCAGGCTGGCTTGGGTATAAGTGCAAGACTGTATCTTAACATTATCTAGAGCAAAAATGTCTAGAGGCAAGGCTCAAGTGACAGAGTATCCAGCCTAGGAACTATAAGGCCTTGAGTAAAATCCTAATAACACCCAAAATAGGGATTGGCTCAGACTCAGAAAACAGGTGGATGTGGTGTGGTAGATGGATTCAAATGCAATTGAAAAGTTTACCTTTCCCATGTTTGCAGCAATCTCAGGGAGCAAAACATAAAGGTATTGCTATGCCCCCCACCCCTGTGTTGGGGGGGGTGGTCCTGTTGGATGTGACTAAGCATAGATCAGGAAGCTCTTGGCTGTGTGTCATTGGGTGAAGTCACACAAGTTCAGGAGAGCTACAAGAGCTGGAACAGGTTCCAGTCAGGGATGTGAAAATTGTTTCTTTAAATCCAGATTAGAGACATACTACCAAGGTGCTACCAATGTTATATGATGCCATTTTGGCTCTTGGATTCTGAAAGTTCAGGCCATAGGATAGGTAGATTAAAATAGTTTTAATGTAGGTTCACCAGTTATGTGATAAATAATGCCATGTATGATTTTCTGTAAGTTTTACATACATTGTATCTCATTTAAGGCTTTCCATTATTCTGTTTTTGAGACAAACAAAACTCTAAGACTCCAAACTCAAAGACTGGAAGCTATCACACAATAGAAATTGGGATGGATGGTCCAGAGTCTTCAAATCTAGGTTCTCTGCCAAGCCAGTTTTCCCTGTGCCATATCTACACTTGAGAACTTGCACACTCTTCCCTCCTTTTGTGAGCTCTCATCTGTAAGCCATTCTGAATTTTCCTTGTTTCCAAGGGGGCAATCCTGTCTTGCTACTAAAAATGATCATTTAATATGTTGAAGTTTACAATTAAAGAATGATATCATAAAACTGGCTCCTGGTGTCTGGGTTAACTCTAGCAAGTGGAGATATTTTACTGCCATAATGGATTTGTCATGTTTTCAAGGTTCTAGTTTCTTGGACTGCATTTCTAGGAAATTATCATTGTGTTTAACAATAGGGAAATTCAATATGTAAAAGCTCAAGTTCACAAGTCAGAAAATTAGTGGGTGCTTACTGTTATGAATGAAGGATTGAAATTAGATGATCCTGAAGGTTCTTTCTATTCTAAAATTTTGATGTCAGATGTCTGAGCTGCTTTTGAATAGACTAGCTCCCTGCTCTGTGTTGAATGGATTCCATTGACAACCTTCTCTTCTATGATTTTTACCCTTCTCATTTTAACTCCATTCTTAAATCTTCTTCCCTCAGCCATTTCCTTCTGTGGACACTTTCCTCTGTATTTAACCAACAAATATTTGCTGAGTATCTGTTGTGTAGAAGAAGGACACAAACCAGCCAGTGGCTTTTGCAAATTTATCATCCAGTTGACAGGATGGAGACATAGGGGAACTATTAATGCACCTTTTCTAATTAAGGAACGTGCAGGGAGATTTCAGAGAACCAGGTAACTTGTAACAAGGCAGCACATAAGGCATCACCACATGAACCCTGGAGTGTACTGGAGGGAAAGGATGGGTTCTTGAAGATAGCCTAACATATTGAAGGGTAGTAGGTCAAGAAAGAGAACTCAAAGGGCAGGGGGCAGCTGGATTACATTAGAATATACACTGTTTTGAGTATATGCTGACTTGACTGGTTTGGACAGATTTCATTAAGTTAGATAAGCAAGTGGAGGTATTCTGCTTAGAAGGCCTCCCTGGGAGGGGAAGTCCTGGTTCCATTACTTCATA